TCGGTCACTTTCAGAATATGGTTTAGCATCTCTGGAAAATCATGCAAGATATAATCACACCCGTTTCCTTTGTATCTGTTAGACTATGTATAGCTTCTGTACTTATGTACGTATTGTAACACATCCATTATATATAATGAGATAAGCCACCCCTAGAGGGTTGTGCTAGTTCCCCCTAAACTTATTGTCTTACATGGTATCACGCTAGGTTACGATCGCTTCCGCTTCCAAACCCTAATACCCGCACCGCCGCCGCAGCCGCCGCCGCCTTCACCGCCGCCATGTCGAGCGCTGCCACCACCGGTTCCACTGCTGCGGGGTTCCTCCCGGCCTCTCTTGCGGCTCTGCTCAACCTCCCGCTCGATGCCGTCGCCGTTCCGGCTCCGATCGGGACCAGGAGCATCGGCTCCGTCTACTCCACGCCGCCGGCGCCCTCGCTTGGGCGCGACCTCGTGGTCCACACCGCGGCGCCGCCGTCCGCTGCGGACTCCGCGGGCGTCGTCCCGCCGCTCCTGCCGCAAGCGGATCACACCGCCCCGCTGGCGGGGTTGGCGGCGTCCGCCCCGGCCGCGGGCCTTGCGGCGTCCGATCCGGCCGCGAGCTTTGCGGCGTCCGCCCTGGCTGCGGTCCTGCCTCCTCCCGCATCGGCTTCGGTGCCTCCGGCTGCCTCCATGGTGTTTGCACCCCAGGCAGCCCCCTCGATGGGATCGTCTTCGCCGCCGCCGTTTCACTTCGGTCATCTCATCACCATCAAGCTCTCCGCCGACAACTACATCTTCTGGCGTGCGCAGGTTCTCCCGCTCTTGGGGAGTCACTACCTGCTAGGCTACATCGACGGATCGCTTCCCTGCCCACCCGCACTGGTAGACAGCGTGCACGGTCCGGTCTACAATCCGGCCCATCGCGTCTGGACGGGGCAGGACCAGGCGAACCTCTCCTCCATCTAGGGGTCGCTCTCGCCGGCAGTTGCCGGACTTGTTGTCTTCGCGAAGACGTCTCATGAGGCCTGGACCATCCTTGAGTGAACCTTTACAGCGCAGTCCCAGGCTCGTGTCTCTGCACTCCATCGTCAGCTTGGAGAGTGTCAGAAGCTTGATTCCACTGCCACTGAGTTCTACAACAAGGTCAAGGGCCTCGCCGACACATTGGCCTCCATTGGACAGCCCCTCACCGACTCTGAGTTCAACTCGTTTATTGTCAATGGTCTTGATGAGGAGTATGATGCCTTAGTCGAGATCATCAACGAGTGGGGCAACTCGACACCCATGCTGGCACACGAGGTTTTCTCTCGGCTCCTTCTCACTGAGCAACGGGTCGAGACACGCCGCTCCAGGGGCACTGGCTCCCTCTCGGCCAACGCCGCCACCAAGGGTGGCCGCTCTTCTTCATCACCCCGGTCTCCCTTGGGGCTGCCACCGTCGCCCGCCTCGGCCCCCCCACCTACTGCGACCTTACCGGGGGCTGGCGGTCCACGTGTGTGCCAGCTTTGTGGCCGCGATGGGCACTGGGCCTCCAAGTGTCATAAGCGCTTCCAGCGAAGCTTCCTTGGTCTTGGCAATGACGGCAAAGATACACGCAACAATGCCCGTCAGGTCGCCATGGCTGATCGTCCCGTGCCGCAGAAGCAACAGGGACACACTCAGTCCTACTCCATCGATCCACACTGGTACATGGACTCTAGGGCGACAGAGCATCTGACCAGCGAGATGGGGAAGCTTCACACTCGTGAACCCTATCATGGCTCCGGCAAGATCCACACCGCCAATGGAGAAGGTATGCACATCTCTCATATTGGTCAAGCATCTCTTCTCACTAGACATGCCAATAGGAGTCTTCAGCTTCACAATGTTCTTCGAGTTCCATCTGTGACCCGTAATCTTCTTTCAGTTCCTAAACTCCCGTTTAGCATGTCCACATACACATCAGCAGAATGGTTCAGTAGAACGTAAGCATCGTCACATTGTTGAAGCTGGTCTGACTCTTTTGGCCCATGCATCTGTTCCGTTTTGTTTTTGGAGTGATGCTTTCACCACTGCATGTTTTCTCATCAATCGTACTCCCACTCGTGTTTTGAATATGAAGACTCCCATTGAAGTTCTCCTTAATGAACAACCGGACTACACCTTTCTCAAGGTGTTTGGGTGTGCTTGCTGGCCCCATCTCCGTCCATATAACAAGCGTAAGCTCGAGTTTCGTTCCAAGAAGTGTGTTTTTCTTGGTTATAGCTCTCTTCATAAAGGATACAAATGTCTTCATGTTCCCACTAATCGTGTCTACATCTCTCGGGATGTTGTGTTTGATGAGCATGTTTTTCCCTTTGCCAAACTCCCTGTGTCCACTACCGAGCCACCTGTCATGCATTCATCCTCTGTTGCTTCTGACCAATTTGATGATGTTGCATATTCTCCTCTATTGTTGCCTAACCATGGTGCAGGCACTGGTCGTGGGGCTCGTTTGGAGATTCTGGAAGCGCCATATTCCTCTTCGTCGCCATCGCCTTCATCCTCGGCACCTTCTGTTGTGCATTAGGAGCACATGGCGCCCCTGCATGGCCTCGGTTTCCGTGCTCATGCACGGCCGATCGACGTCCTGGCCCGGTCGCCTCTGGCTTCTGGGCTGCCTTCGCCATCGTCGCGCCCTGCAACCCCGCCGACTGGGCCGGCCTCCTCGGTCCCCGTCTCGCCCAGGGCGTCGGGGCAGTCATCACCAGGCCTGGCCTCGCCCGCCCCTGCCTCGCCCAGCGTGTCTGGGCCCTTCTCATCAGGGCCGGCCTCGCCTGCTCTCGCCTCGCCAAGGCCGTCTGGGCCGGTGTCACCGGAGCTGGCCTCGCCCACCCTCGGTTCGCCCATGGCCTCTGAGCCCCTGTCGTCGGGCCAGTCTTCGCCATGCAGCCCGGAGTCGTCTGTCCCGAGCTCGCCTGAGGTGATTCCTGCATCTCCGGCGACCGTCACGTCTCCGTCACCTTCGCCTCCGCCGGCTCCTGCTGCTGCTCTACGTCCACATACGCGCAGTCGGAGTGGCATTTTTCAGCCTAAGCAACGTCACGATGGCACAGTTGCTTGGTTAGCGGTGTGCATGTCTGCTGCTCTCGCAGATCCATCCTCTGAGCCACGCACGTATCAAGCTGCTATGCGCATTCCTCATTGGAGAGAGGCCATGGAGCAGGAGTATCAAGCGCTTCTTCGCAATCAGACATGGACTCTTGTTCCTCCACAATCACGGGTAAATGTCATTGATTCCAAATGGGTTTTCAAAGTGAAGAGGCATTCTGATGGGTCCATTGAGCGCTATAAGGCTCGTCTGGTTGCTCGTGGTTTTCGACAGCGTTTTGGACTTGACTATGAAGACACCTTCAGTCCAGTGGTCAAGCCTACTACCATCAGACTTCTTCTCTCTCTGGCTGTTACTCGAGGTTGGTTTCTTCGTCAGCTTGATGTTCAAAATGCTTTTCTTCATGGTGTCTTGGCGGAGGAGGTTTACATGCGCCAGCCTCCGGGTTTCTCTGATCCGGATCGCCCTAATCATCTCTGTCGTCTGTCCAAGGCAATTTATGGTCTGAAGCAGGCTCCTCGTGCTTGGCATGCTCGTCTTGCAATGGCTCTTCGTGCTCATGGTTTTGCATCATCAACTGCTGACTCCTCATTGTTTCTTCTTCAAAGGCCTGAGGTTACTATGTACTTGTTGGTCTATGTAGATGATATCATTTTGGTCAGCTCCTCTCAGTCGGCTGCTACTGCGCTTGTTCGCTCACTTGGTGCTGATTTTGCGGTCAAGGACCTTGGGAAGCTTCATTACTTTCTTGGTGTGGAGGTTACTTCTCGTGCTGCTGGCCTTGTTATGACGCAGAAGAAGTACTCTCTGGATTTGTTGCAGCGAGCTGGGATGCTTAAGTGCAAACCGACGACTACACCCATGTCTACCACTGATAAGCTCAATGCTGTTGATGGTGTGCTTCTTTCTTCTTCTGATGCGACCGAGTACCGGAGTATTGTTGGTGGGCTCCAGTACTTGATGATCACGCGACCAGACATTTCGTATGCTGTTAACCGAGTCTGCCAGTATCTGCAGTCACCCCGTGACACTCATTGGTCTGCTGTTAAGCGGATTTTGCGCTATATTCGTTTCACGGTGGCTCATGGTTTGCATATTCGGCCGTCTGACTCTGGTTGTCTTTCAGCATATTCTGATGCAGACTGGGCTGGCAATCCGGATGACAGGCGATCCACGGGGGGTTATGCTGTCTTCTTTGGCTCTAACCTGATTGCCTGGAGTGCTCGAAAACAGGCTACTGTCTCGCGTAGCAGTACTGAGGCTGAGTATAAGGCTGTGGCCAATGCCACATCAGAGATTATCTGGGTACAGTCCTTGCTTCAGGACTTACGTATACCCCAATCACAGCCTCCTGTTCTTTGGTGTGATAACATCGGTGCTACATACCTTTCTGCAAATCCGGTATTCCATGCCCGAATGAAACACATTGAAGTTGACTATCACTTTGTGCGTGAACGTGTCTCTCAGAAGCAACTACAGATCAAGTTTATTTCTTCCAAGGATCAACTTGCTGACATCTTCACCAAGCCATTGCCTTTGCCACAGTTTGAGATTTGCAGGCGCAATCTTACCCTTCTAGATTCATTAGAAAGTGGCTAAGATTGAGGGAGGGTGTTAGACTGTATTTACATGTGTATATTGTAACGTTGTATACCACCTCATTATATATATATGTGATAGGCCACCCCTAGAGGATTGTGCCGGTTCCCCCCAAAGCCTATTGTCTTACAGAGGACGACAGGAACACATGCAGGCTGCTGGTGGGGGAGGCGCTGGCGCCGGCGTGGTGGGAGACCTTCCACTTCCGCATCGTCAAGGTGCTCAAGGACGACTGCGACCGTAAGGGGGAGCACAAGTTCATCTTCGGCGCCATCTACGAGCACGTGCCGCCGGCGGGCGCCCGCCGGCACCCGTCGGCTCCGCAGTACGTCGTCGCCCTGCGAGGGACCATGCTGAAGCACCCCGACCCGTTCAAGGACCTGTGGCTCGACCTCAAGGTCATGGCCAACACCCTGCCCCGGTGCAAGCGCTCCGAGCGCGCGCGCACGGAGGTCGAGGCGCTCCTCGGCGCCGGCTGCAGCCCCGTGTGGCTCACTGGCCACTCCCTCGGAGCGTCCCTGGCGCTGGACGTGGGGCGGAGGATGATGGCGGAGAATGGGGTGAGCCTCCCGACCTTCCTCTTCAACCCGCCGCAGGTGTCGCCCGCGCCGGTGATCAACGCGCTGCGGCCGACGGAGGTGGGGAAGAGGGACCTGTACGCCACCAGCTACGTCTTGAAGGCCGGCCTCGGGCTGGTCCTCAGCCCCCACCGAAAGCGCATGGAGGCGCTGTTCCAGAGGCTGGCCCCGTGGGCGCCGCGGCTGTACGTGCACGACAGGGACGTCGTCTGCCTGGGCTTCATCGACTACTTCCAGCAGCGGCAGCTGATTCAGGAGCGCTTCCGCGGGGTGGCCCGGTCGGCGATGACGCTGTCGTACCGTGACATGCTCTTCTCCTTGGTCGGCGCCGACAAGGAGCGGCCGCATGTCCTTCCTTCGGCCATGCTGGTGAAGAACTCCAGCGACTGCGACGCCCACGGGCTCGAGCAATGGTGGAAGCCAGACGGTGAGCTCAACTTGAGCGCCACGCGTTACAGCTATCCTGGAGCTTAAACCCCTCAATTCCCTGCCACGCTGTGTGCATCATGAATTGAATCCCTACCATGCATGCTGGCCCTTCTTAATTTGTGCTACATTTACATTGCATTTTCGTGTAGGCACTCCACATGCTCCTTGTGGTTCAGTCATATGTGTGAACTTATAATTTGTTTATATTTAATACAAAAATTGTTCTGGTGTCACTATGATTTTTTTATTTTTACTAGGTAATTGCCTTGTCATGGGGCATAAATATTTTGTGCTAGCGGAACATACTCTTTAGGATCCTCATAGACATAGAGCATCATTGTCAACTCTTTTTACCATTAAATCACCCTCCAACGTGCTTGGAGAGAAATGTTCCATCAAATAAATCTAGGGTATTTAATAGTATGTGTGAAAAATAACAAAACTTATTGCTTAGGCAAACCGAGCAAGCTAGATATGATAGATTAGGACATTCATTAAGCACCAAAGCAAACCATTCCATCTCACATGACATTCATGAAGTGGACGGCCAAATCTTGTTCCAATAATTGCCTATTGTCGAGCAAAAAGAAAGGACATGGATATTGAACTGGCGTTCGGTCTCGGGGAGCCCCATGCTAGAACGAAAAATATAGAGTCCACGGTATGGCGGCCCTCATTTTGGGCACAACCTTCAAAAACATTGTGGAGCGCACTTCATATGCCAATACGCCGACTCTGCTAGGGTTGCTCGGAGATCAAAATCCAAAATCATCCAGTAAATCTGAAGATACATATGGATCTATTTTTAACATAGCATGGTTACTATGTTAGTGCGGATCTATTTTTCATGGTTATTAGTACTATGTTATGCTTATGATACAGAAAACTAAATCCGGTAACTATACACGAGCACATGACAAACGCACTGAACCGGATTGTTTTATTTCAAATCAGAAATTAGTAGTGCCGAGTAGTAGTAACTATAAGTATCTTATGACCGTGAGTGAACATAAGAGCATCTCCAGCCGCGCCCCCAGAAAGGCCTTCCCAGGCATTTTTTTTGCGCCGGTGCCGAAAAATCGGCCCAGTCGCGCCCACAGGAGCCCGATTTTCGCCGGTTTGGGCCGAAAACAACGACGGCGGACCCAGGCCAAACCCGGCGCGCTGGGGGCGCCCGGGGGCGCCGGGGCGAACTGTTTTGGCGCGAAACAGCCGCGGGCCCGCCGCGTCAGCGACTCTATCCTCTTCTCGGCCCTTCGTCGTCCTCATCGCCTCGTTTCCCGCGGCGAATCAATGCCAAAGCTGCCGCGCCGGTCAGCTTGCACCATTGATGCCTCACGGGCGGCGCAGTGAAGACCGGATGACGTGTGTCCCTCGCCCTCCCTCGCCCGCCACGCGTACTCACGGCGGCTCGCGCACGGGCGGCGCCTCGGCCTATATAAGACGCGCCCCAGAGCACTCGGCGACTCGTACTCTCTCGCCATCGTCGTTCCTCCCTCGCCTCTCTCTCGCCGTCGTCATTCCTCCTTCTCCTCTCTCTCGCCGTCTCCAACACCCATGGCCGAGTGCTTCCCAGGCGACGGCGCGGCGGCGAACGGATTCGGCCGCCGCCATCTTCACGAGAGCGAGGCTCGCCTCCTTTTCGAGGCCGAGTACCCTGTCCCGCCGGACATGCGGGTACCCGGGGCGTGGAGGATCAGCGCCGGCAGCGTGCCGGTGCCCCCGATACCCACCGGCGCGGCGCGGCGTGCGGAGATCGCACGCATCCGCTCGTCCCTGCCACGTGCGGCGAGGGAGGGGCCATGATACGTCCCCGACAGCCCGCTCTGGGAGCCCTACTACCGCCGCCGTCACGCCGGGCAGCTCGAGGCCACCAACGGCGTCGAGCCCTCCGGCAGGCTCAACGCCGTCGGCCGGCGTCGGTGGTGGGGCGTGCCCGGGCGCATGTTGGAGGCCGTCCTCAAGTACATCGAGGGCGGCAACACGCCGCACCTTGAGTACCCCGCCCCCCTTCCTTCTCACGCCGCCGGGGAATCTCCTGGACCCCGAGGCGCATGGAGACCGGGGGTCCTCCTCCTCGTCCGGTGGCTCGCCCTGCCTCCGCCCCGTCAAGCCGGAGTCCCAGGGCACGCCGGTCAGCACGCGCACCCGCAGCTCCGGCGTCCGCATCGGCGCCAACGCCTCCCCACCCACCGGCCGCTTCGTCCTCGTTGAGCCCAAGCCGGAGCCCGGCCTGCCCGCGGATTACGAGGAGATAGCCCGGCGCGGCTTCTCCGACGAGGACGCCCTGCGGTGGGCGCGGGACGACTACCTCCGCGACGAGATGGTCCGGCAGCGCCGGGCCCTGGAGGAGATCGCCGCCCGCAAGCGTGGGCGCGAGGACGAGCACGGCGTCGTGGTCCTCGACAGTGACGACGACGACGACGCTCCCGGACCGTCCAACCCGTCGCGCCAACCGGGGGAGGGATGCAGCAGGGACAGCGGAGGCGTAGGCGGGGGCGGCGACGACGACGACGACAACAACGACGACGACGACGGCGGTGACTATACGCGGTTCTACAGCCTCCTCGACATGTAGAACCGCGTGGGCGGGCGGCGAGGCGGGCGGCGAGGGAGACGGCGGGGTAGCCCGCGGTAGTTTTTTCTTTTTTTTGTAAAATATGTTTAAGTTTGAATGAACTCGTCGATATTTGCGTTAAATTTGAGTCGTTTTTGCGCCGTATTTGACTTTTTTGATTAACCGTGGGCGCCGCAACTGGGGGGCATCACGCCCCCAGTGCGCGGTTTAGCGCCGGTGCACCCCCACAGGACGATTTTTTGCCCCTCCTGAAGGGCCAACGGCTGGAGATGCCCTAAGGTAGTGCGTTATGACAACCAACGACCTCCGCGCATTATGCCTCCACGACTAGAAATGATTGAACCACGAAACGGATGCACACGTACGATAGACGACGGCGTGTTTCCCTCTCTTGATTCTCTTCACACGCAGGTGGCGGCGCAGTGGCTGTTGCAGTCCGCCGAGCACTGCTTGCTGGCAGCCCTGGTGCAGTCCGCGCACGCAGAGCTGTTGGAGCAAGAGTCGTAGCACGATCGGGTCGCTTCGCCGTCGCAGTCGTCGCAGCTGGCGCCGGCGCAGTCGGCCCTGCTGCACTTGTCGAACGCGGCGGACCTGCACTCGTCGCAGCTCGGAGCGCCGCAGGGCTTGCTGCATTTCAGGGGGATGGAGGCTCTGCACGTCGAGATGCAGTGCGGGCCACAGTCGTCGCACCGCGTCGCCTGCCCCAGCCCCGGCGCCGGAGCCGGCACCGGTGGCTCTGGGCCGAGCGACGGACAACGTCCCAGGGAGGGCGGGACCAGCATGGCGAGGATGGAGGCGACAGCGGCCGCTTTGAGAGCGAGGGTGGCTGAACCTGGAGCCATGTTGATTGGAGTAGAAGAATGTGATGTGAAGATCTGACTATGTGGTGTGATCTGTGATGTGCATAGGAAGGAGCAGAGCGATGCTATTTATAAGCACCCAGGAGCTGCACGTCCTGACACTTGGCTAAAGCTGCTAAACTAAACGTATACTCTACTGTGGATTGTTTATGTGTTCATGGCCGTGTAGCACGTTATAGGTCAATTGAGATCTGCGCCATGCACGTTACTTCATGGTTGCTCTCCCGGCTCTGGGCACGGTTCCATGTGCTGTTCGCGGAAACGAGGCAAGTTTAACCATGATTGATTCGACAAAATGTCAACTATTTCAGGGTATAGTACAGTGGAAGTGCATAAATAAACGGCACGGTGACGGGTATAGTTGTGGCGCGTGAGTTTTCTTCTTCTTCTTCTTCTTCGTGTTTTAATACTTTTTCACTATCTGCAGCGGTTTTCTATGATTTTACCGTTTTACATTTTTTTACTCTTCTTCATTTGGTTTTCTTTGTTTTTATCTATTATTTTGCTTTTAACTTATTTTCTTTTTACTAGAACTATGCCCGTGCGTTGCAATGGGATATAAATATTGTATTATGTTATGTTGTGTTCACCTACCCATAGTATGCCATAAATGCTCGTTAAATTATGTCGGTGATTTAACTTATATTTTGATCAGAAGTGATTTACCTGCCCATGGTATGCAATTGTGTAAATAAATATTAATCAAATTCTGCCCGTGATTTACCTTATGTTTTGATCAAAAGTTTGGTAAGTAAATTAAAGTGGAATCAATCCAGAAGGTAAGTAAATTAAGGTGGTTGATTGTTATACGGGAAAGGTTGGACGAAGGAGTGATGGTAAGAAAGGTGAAACAAAAACCTTACGTTCTTTTTAAGTAAGTAGAGATAGAGATAGAAATTTTCAACACATGATTATAGTCTTCGTACACATTTGTACATTTTTCATAGACATCACAAACATTTACTATACATGTTTAACTATTTTAAAAACATGATTTACATTTTTCAAATATTGTTTTTTATGTCTACACACTGTACATTTTTTATTCATGTAAAAAGGTTTTTATACACCTTTAACATTTTCAAATAGATGATAAAACTTTTCTCAAATACCTATTTTGAACATTTTTTGAATAAATGCTAAACATTTTTTAAATACGCATTGAAATATATTATTTAATAATACAAAGCAGGTGCAAGCTTGGCAAAGATGCCTACGATAACAAATTTGTCCGGCAACACACACTTGAAGTACTCAACTTCCTTTGTGAGTGACTGTATCTCATGAGCCTACTGAACAATAGAGCGCCTATCAGTTATCTTGTAGTCATAAAATTGCTCCATAACATACAGCTCACTGCCAGCGCCCGAGGTCTCAAGTTTGGCCTCGAGCGCAACACACATGTCCTTGTCGTTGTCAAACGACATATACGAATTCACATTGGAATCGTCAAGAACACTCAGAAGGACGCCCTTAAAGAGGGTATCGATCTTCTCAAAACCTTTCTGTTGTGCAGGATTAAGATCGCCCTCATGCTTGCTCTTAGTGGCATCATTAACAGTACATGGTTTGAAACCAGTAAACTGCTTTCGTGCGCCACCTCTTAT